TTTCCGGCAAAAGAGGTACGAATAAATCTCTTCCGCCCTAGCTCCACCCATATACCAAACCACTCGACATTATTAATATACCTAGCGAGGAAAGTAAGCTTGAACGCAAACCACGATGTCCACATATATATATCTAGTGCAGCTTAACTCGTGATATATAGTTAAGGTATATATATTTATGATATAAAGATTGTATATAATATTACTGTAAGTTAATATATTATAATAGCTAGCAGGTAAATTACTATTTTTACCAAGTTTCCAATTAATATTCTATTCGAGATTTATTGGTAATGAATTTATAAATGACCTGAATGTATAAATATTTCTTACACCGTTAATNTGACCCAGAACCACTGGTTTAGGGTTAGAAATTCGAGCTTAGATAAATTGATATATTTGGTTTTATCTGATTTTGTTACATGATCTGTGCATAATATGCTAACTAACTGCTTTTACCGCTTTGATATTTTGTGAATTGTATATAAACTGGCCGAAACACATCTCCTCTCTGAGTCTTCTAAATCATGAAGAAGGGTGTACTTCGTACGACTTCTTTTCTGTATAGTGTCTAATCCCAATTTAGAACGAGGTTGGATAAGTTGCAAAGCCGGCGAAGCTTCTGTATTCCCGGATTGTTGCCTCCCCCTCGGCTCGAGCTGTCCGCTCGGGTAAGCCAGGTCTAGAACAAAACACCCAGGTTCTGAACCTAGAATAACTTGACTTCATACCGGATCCCTAGTAGGAACGTTTATTTGCATCATGTTGCATTTGGCTTAGGGGACTCAACACAGGGGTTGGGTCCGTCTAGGACAAGAAATTTGAAATGAAAAAGACCATCCTGCTGCATCTTCTTTGTTTTACACATTTATTACCTCAGATCTGCATGCTGACCGGCTTCGAAAAATCGGGAATATTGGAAAATTGCGAAAAAGAGGGAAGTAACTGTGTAGAGAGTAAGAAAAAAAAACCAATGCCCCAAATACTGGCGAAATTCTGCCGGAATTTTGGGAAAAATGAAAAACAGAATAATATTTTTCTTATATATAGTTTGTTTCACTAAAAAAAAAAGCAAAAGAAAAAATAGAAAAAAGTCTCTTATTTTTAGATTGAAGAATAGGTTGGTCATTTTGTTGAAACGAAAAGAAAAAATCTTCACTTTGTCTTGTTTTCAAAATGAAGAAAAAAAAATAGTTTGTCTTGCCATGAAAAATGAAAATGAAAAAAGAGTCTTGTTTTTAAAATGGTTTTTCTATTTATTTATTTGTTTATGAAAATGCCAAAAATGAAAATAAAAAGAGTCTCGCGTTGAACGTGGTTTTATTATTTGTTGCAATATATATATATATATATATATATATATATCGAAAAGATATTTTTCTTTATTTCCTTTCTAGAAAAGTTTTTTTAGATCCCAATTTTCAAAAAAAAATTCCAAAAATATTTTCCATTATTGATTTCTTTAGAAAGCCTTTTTAATTGTTTTTTTTAAAAAAAAACAAAATAAATAAAAATATTTTCTTTTAATTTCTTCCAAAAAATCCGAAAATATTTTCATTCTTCTTTCAAAATTGAAAAGAAAATTCAATATTCAAAAATATTTTTTAGAAGCATTTCTTTCCATAAAAGTAAAATTCCAAAAATATTTTCTTTCTTCTTTAGAAGTTTTTCTTTCAAAATTCAAAAAAANTTTCGAAATTCAAAAAAAAAAAAATTTAATCTTTTTTCTTTAGAAATCTTTCTTTGCAAAAATGCTCCCTTTCTTCTTTGTAAGTCTTTNTTCTTTATAAGTCTTTCCTTCAAAAAATAAATAAAGAATAAAAAAAAAGTTAGTTTATTTACTTTATTCATGATGTCCCGAACTACGCGTGTTTGATTCTCACCGGATGTGAGATACGTAGGCAACCCTCATCGGGTCCAACCTCCCCTTTTGCTAAAATATCCAAAAACAAATAAATAAAGAAAAAAAAACATGTCAAAATTTTAATTTTGTGATAAATAAGTCGGGTGATGTCCCACCTCCCTTTTTGCAAAAAATAGCAATATATATATTTCATCATAAAGAAGTTGGATGACGCTGTTTTGTCAAGATGTAGCCGAATGTTCCCGAAAGGGACACCGGAGGGCTGACTTTGTATAAACAGCCACTTTGGGTTATTTTTTTAGGATTTTGGTCCAGTTGACCCACACAGCCTTAAAAATCTTCGTCCCCGAGGCGCTGAAGGACCGTGTTTGCAACACCAGGTTTTATTGTAATTTGAAAAAAAAACAAAGAGTCAGCGGTCAGGTGAATACCGTTGGGATTTTTAGTCAAAAATAAACCGAGCCAGCTTCGGCCGTGTCTTAAACCGTTCTTGCCAAAATAGCCTTAGAGTATCTTTCAGTTATCGAAAGGCTATTTTCGTAAAAGAACGAAAAAGTTTGTAAAGTGTCATAAAGTAATCCTCCCCGGCCTCAAAATCCATGTGAAATTTGGAAAGGGCTACATTTGCAAAAATAACCGTTTGGTTGCATTTGTCGAACGGAGAAAGGGAGCTGGCCTTTTGTTTTAGAGTCTGTAATTCTTTTGATTAGAATATGTGGGTTGTTTGATTTTCGAGTTTGTAGGTCATCTTTAAACCTTTGAAACCCAGTTTGTTTTATTATGAAAATTGATAAAGAAAAAATGTTTCATTGTTGTTACCTTTCATTTTGGCCGAACTACGCAAGGTCTGATTCATGCGGGGTCATGATACGTAGATTCGACCACCACTGAAAAAGGAAAAACAAGAGAGAGAAAAATAAAGGAAAGCGCGGATGCATCACATCTCTGATAGAACGGCTTAACTGCTTAGGTGCATTGCATCTCTGATATATGATTATCTGTCAAATGCCCTAACACTAACGTGATGGTTTCCCTTTGCTGTGTTCATATATAGAAAAGTGGTTGGTTGTGGTAACTCCTCCCTGCAAAGCAAATGACACAGAACCTCAGAACCGAGTGGGTCGGTACCAATGACCGACAACAACTGGTCGAACGGAACAACGGGCTGGTAGAAGAAGTGAAGATGCTGAGACAACATGTGGCAGATATGTATCGGGCGTGGGTGGCTCAGATAGCACCACCCCCTCCACCACCTAGCTTCCTGAAATCTGTCCTTACCCGAACACCGAGCACAAGGCCAGACGCTCCCCCACACTCTCCATATATAACCGCCTATCATAGCTTGCCCAGCCACCCGAGTAGCTCCATCACTCGCCCTCCAGCTATGTTTTCTCAATGCTTCTCCCCTCCCCAACACCACTTCTCTCCCCGTGACCCTAAAAACCATACTTCACTTTCCAGGTACCCGGCTCCACAAAATGCCTATCCACCCTCACAAGCCTACCGAAAGCCATCTGGATCAGGTTTCCGGCCCTGTCAAGCATGCAAGAATGATAGGTGGCTGAAAAAAAGAAAGGCTTTCACCCCTATTGGAGGATCATATGCCGGTTTGTTCCAAAAGTTGAAGCAATTGGACATGTTGAAGCCGATTCATATAAACGCGCCAAACCCTCTGTCAAAGAAGCTTGATTTTTCTAAAAGGTGCGCATATTGCTCAGATACACCGGGGCATGACATAGAGAAGTGTTGGAGGCTAAAGGAAGCAATTCAGAAGCTTATTGATGCAGGTGACATTGTCGTACAAAATCCGGATGCAACAGACACTAGCCAAAGTCCATCGCCTATTCGAAGTGAGATGCATAGGTCGAATATGATTTGTTTTGAAAAGGAGTATGAGAATTCTTCTGAGATCCTTGGGGGTCCGCGCATGGCAAAGTTTTCTGTGCTATATTTTGGTGGAGATCCCAGTAAAGTTGATGCCGAATTCAGTGGCTAAGATGCCGAGCCTGGAAATTGGAAAGGCGCTCCATTCCTTGGTCCGCCGGAGAGGATCTTTGATGGCTTGTTTTGTTGTCATTTCTGTTGTCTGGATTATTTTTAGGGTTGTAATTCGGACATGGTCTTGTGTCAAACCCTCTTATCCTTCCATTTTCATCATAATGTTTGTTTAGTGTTGTCTAGGATTTGTTTTGGGCTTGGTCTAAA